CATAACCCTAATCTTAACTTTGACCATAACACTAATCTTAACTTTGACCATAACCCTAATATCTTAATTAACTGTTAGGATTAGCCACAAGTTCGCCTTAAATTCTCGCTTAACACTACGTTGGTCCTACGCCGTGTAACAGTCGGAGAGCCTGCATGTCGTTTTAGGATAGGATGATGTTTGTTTATTACTGGACATGCAGGCACCTTTAGTGATGCACAGATTTACGTGTATCAGCCTCAGGTAGTGATGCACAGATTTACATGGCATTGCCATTGCCATTACATTAGACTAGTAGACTATTACATTAACATTTGATGATCAACAAATGTTCTTTGTTTCAAACCCCAAAATGATAATGATAACCAGTTTCTTACCTTCTACACGTACAGTCAAAAACATCTTTCCTCCACTCTAATTCCCTGTAGCTATATATAGCCTCATCTCCTAAAAACTCTGGCCAAGAACTCGAAGTACTCGGAGTAGAATCCATTATACGTCTGACTTTCAAACAGCGATGGCGCGAGCTAGTCAGGCGGTTTGTTGATCAGACGCAGCAACCGTACGTTGCTATGCGCATGACAAGCGTGACGTCGGTACGTTGTAATAAAATGAGCGAGGAATGAGTAGGAATGAGATCGTATTTGAGTGTATGCATGCGCATGAATATTATGTTTTTTATTTTTTATTAGAAAGGGTTATAGAACTCTTTCAATTGTTAATTTCAGAAACTAGAATCTTTTCTGAATCCGACAGTGTAAGCGGCGCGTCCGAGGTGCGTTGCTGAGACGGCCGGGGAATTTTCACAGAAGGCCTACTTTTTCTCGCAAAATCACAATTGTTGTACTTTTGCTTATTTGCACACCACGAGGTGGCGCCTGCAGGACGGATCGAGCTGGTTAACCGCGTCTACAGGGCTGCCGTTATGTCCGCATCGCATGTTACTACTACTAGTCACAGAAATAGATAGCAGAGTTTACTGTCTATACTAAGTCTTCTATGCTACTATTTAGAAATAGTATTTTATTTATTTTAGCAATAATATATTAGAAATCATACGAAATTAAATGCAAACAACCGATCGAAGAAATTTCACGAGGTCAGCATGTATTATGGAATAAAAATACGTGTAAACTATATGCCGTTTCTTACTTTTCGGTACATCGATCGTTGCCATGTGCGATAGTACCGCTCACTGAGCTGAGAACAAAAGATCTTATGATTTTCTTTTATACTCGTTTATTTATTTATTGCTTTAAATTAATTGAGATTTAATAATAATTTGAATGTCTTTATATATGCACGGTTAACCATGCAATATAATTATATGGACATGTATGAAGAAGAGGCCTGGACAGTATACGTCATATTAGGTTATCTATATTATTTCTATGGTTGTCACGCAATTTTTTAGAATATAGTTATCAACATGCGCCTATATATAAGAAAACTAGAATTTAAAATTAACGCGGAAATAGGATTATTATTCTTGAAACTAGAAACAAACCCTAGATATCCAATCTTAAAAATCTTGTCGAGATTTTTTAAAATTGTTCGAAAAGTTGGAATCTTAAAACTAGATATATTTTCCAAAAACAAGATAATTTTCTCGATTTCGGATCTATTTTATAAATAAGAAAATACTTTTTAGCTGTGCATGCATGCAGTCAAGCATTAAAAAACATTCGACAGTAAATGACCTTATTTCAGCCGAAACTTTTTCACCCCGCGATGCACAAAATGTGAATTTACGCCTATAATACACGCGCACGCGTGTGTGCGTGCGTGCGACCATACCCGCGTGTGCGCGTCCAATAGTGGGTGTGTATGTGTGTTTTTGTGACTGGAAAAACGCGTATTATAGCCGTATAATCATGTTTTGTGCTTTGGGGGTTGAAAAAGTTGAGGCTGAAAACCAGCCATTTGCCTGGCTAACATTTCACCGTGCGACTGCTGCCGTGGGCGATACTATCCGTAAGAGGGAGAGGGAAATACTGAGGGAAAGGGAGTGAAAGGGTGGGAGGAGGGAAAGAGGACAGAAAGGGAGAGGGACGGAGGGGGAAGAATGCAAAAGGAGATGTGCACACGCATGCGCAGTCACACGCGCAGACAAATGCTCGTACGGCACAAACGGCACACACACAGGCACGGAAGCACCATATTCCTTCTAATATAGTTACTTCTCTTGCCTTCCCGCTCATCCTCTCTCTCCCTGACTTTCACCCTCTCTCTCTCTCTCTCTCTCTCTTTGTCTCTGTCTGTCTCTCTCTCTCTCGCAATATTTCTCTTTACGCACGCACGCACGCATGCACGCACGCACGCACGCACGCACGCACGCAAGCACACACGCAAGCACACACGCAGGCACGCACATACATACACACACACTCACACACACNTATATATATACCCTAACCCTATATATATATATATATATATATACCCTAACCCTATATATATATACCCTCACCCTAACCCCTACCCTAACCCCCCTACCCTAACCACACACACACCACGTACACGTATACCCTAACCCTATATATATATATATATATACCCTAACCCTATATATATATATATACCCTAACCCTATATATATATATATATATATATACCCTACACGCACGCGTGTACGTGGTGTGTGTGTGGGGGTGGTAGGGGGGACTTAGGGTTAGGGTAGGGGTTAGGGTGAGGGTATATATATATATAT